TGCCCAGCCCCTGCCTAGTTTTTAACACCCTATCATAATTTCCTTCATTAGATGAACTTCACTGGTTTAATAAAAACCTGAGGAAATGAACCATCAAAGGGATAAAGTCATCAGCACAACACAATAGCTAGCACAATTTCACAAGTATCTGAAATAATTTTCCCATACAATTTAGCTCCTAATTTATAATGTTCCGGTTCCTACGGCTCATAAATAATTACCCCAAAACTTAGTGTCATAAAATAATCGTTTATTATGCTCACAGACTTCATAGATCAGGAATTCAGACAAGGCACAGGAGGGCAGGTTGACTCTACTCCAGCGTCTGGGACCTCAGCTGGAAGCCTTGAAGGCTGGTGGCTGGAATCTTTCAAAACCACTCACATGTCTAGACGGTGAGGATGGCTGTTGGCTGGAGGCCTCAGTTCTTTGCAGGGGCAGGCATCCCCACAAAGAGCCAGGCAGGGCCGGGCAAGGTGGCTCACGCCCGTAATCCTAGCCCTTGGGGAGGCTAAGGCAGGCACATCACAAGGTCAGTTTGAGACCAGTGTGGCCAACATTGTGAAATCCCATCTCTACTAAAAATACAAAAAATTAGCCGTGTGGTGGTGTGCACCTGTAATCCCAGCTACTCAGGAGGCTGAGGCAGGAGAATTGCATGAACTAGGGAGGCAGAGGTTGCAGTGAGCCAAGAGCGCGCCACTGCACTCCAGCCCAGGTGACAGTGCAAGACTCTGTCTCAAAAAAAAAAAAAAAAAATGAGCCAGGTAGAAGCTGCATCCTTTTTATGTCACACAGCATTACATTTGGCATATTGTATTTTATACATACATACATGTTTGTATATGTATGTATATATGTGTATGTAATATATTAACTGTTGCCTTATAACAAATTACCCCAAAACATAGTGGTGTAAAACCACAAATAGGCTGGGCATGGTGGCATGTGCCTATAATCCCAGTACTTTGGGAGGCTAAAGCAGGAGGATTACTTAAGCCCGGAGTTCAAAACTAGCCTGGGCAACATAGGGAGACCCCATCTCTACCAAAAATAAACTATTAGCCAGTGCTGAGTGCAGTGACTCATGCCTATAATCCCAGCACTTTAGGAGGCTGAGGCAGGCAGATCACTTGAGGTTAGGAGTTCGAGACCAGCCTAGCCAACATGACGAAACTCTGTCTCTACTAAAAATACAAAAATTAGCCAGGTGTGGTGGTGCAGCTTGTAGTCCCAGCTACTTGGGAGGCTGAGGCATGAGAATTTCTTGAATCCGGGAGGTGGAGGATGCTATGAGCCAGGATCATGCCACTGTGCTCCAGCCTGGGTGACAGAGTGAGACTCTGTTTCAAAAAATATATATGTATATTTTTTATTATTTTGATTTTTTTTTTGAGACAGAGTCTTTTTCTGTCACCCAGGCTGGAGTGCAGTGGTATAATCTTGGCTCACTGCAACCTTTGCTTCCTGGGTTCAAGCGATTCTCATGCCTCAGACTCCTCAGTAGCTAGGACTACAAGCATGCGCCACCATGCCCAGCTATATGTAAACATAACATATATACATAATTATTATATATACAATATTTATAATATATAATAATAATTATTATTAGCCAGGCATGGAGGCACACGGCTATAGTCCCAGCTACTTGGGGGATGTTGAGGCGGGAGTATTGCTTGAGCCCAGGTTTTCAAGGCTGCAGTGAGCCACTGTAATGAGCAACAGAATGAAACCCCCTGTCTCAAATAATAAAAATAAAAGTAAACAAAACCACAAACATTTATGGTCTTTCTTAGGATTGAGAATGTAGGAGCTGGGTTGTTCTGTCTCAGGGCCTCTCATGAGATTACAAGGCTATGGTCATCTGTAGGCTTGATGGGGCTGGAGGATTTCCCAGCTCACACACAAGTGCTGGCAAGGGGCCTTCATGCCTCCCCATGCAGGCCTCTCCAGAGGGCTACTCTGACATGGTAGCTGTTTTCCCCCAGACCCACTGATCCGAGATGGAAGGTAAAGTGCCTTTTGTAACCTAATTTCAGAAGTGATATACTGTCCCTTCTGCCCTGTGCTATTAGTCACACAAAGGACCCTGGGACAGTATAGGAGGGAAGTATACCAGGCTGTGAATAACAGGAGGTGGGACCACTGGGGGCCTCCTTGCAAAGTACAACCTGCTAAATAGATATGGTTACACGTACATGTGCCCGTCTGTCTTCCCTTCCCTTATTTATTTATTTATTTTGAGGCGGAGTCTTGCTCTGTCATCCAGGATGGAGTGCAATAGCGCGATCGCTGCTCACTGCAACCTCCACCTTCCAGTTTGAGTAATTTTCCTGCCTCAGCCTCCCATGTATCTGGGACTACAGGCACACTCCACGACGCGTAGCTAATTTTTGTATTTTTAGAAGAGACGTGGTTTTACCATGCTGACCAGGCTGGTCTTGAACTCCTAACCTCAGGTGATCCACCTACCTCAGCTTCCCAAAGTGCTGGGATTACAGGCGTGAGCCACTATGCCTGGCCCTTCCCTTCCCCTTTTAAAGTCCATGTCTGTATTTTGTTCTGCTCAATCCCCACAACCTTGCTTTTTAGTATGCAGCAGATACTCAATAAATACTAAGTAGACAGATAATATACAAGACATGACCAATGTCTGCACATAGCCAGCTTCCCTCCTTTCTGCCATAGAGCACTTCTCAGCCCCCTGCAGTTGGATGGGCTTGTGACTACTTCTAGCCAGTTCAACATGCATGGAAAAACCTGTGTCACTGCCACACTGAGGGAATGAAAGATGGGGTTATGACCGTCTAGTCTCTTTCCTGCCATGGCATCCCAGGAACTACAGATGTCAAATGCTCTGGCAAGTGTAGCTAACACATGAATAGTCTGCTTCCATCCCAAACCTAAGAGGCGGTGCAGAATGGAGGCTCTGTCCCCTGGGAGACAAGCTGCAGACACATGAAAAGCGTCTGAGTTTTGGGGGAGTTGTTACTGTAGTCTGATCTGACCTATCCAGATTACAGATCTACCATCTCTTTTATTAAACCTGCTAGCCTCAAGCAGCAGATGGAGAAATGGAAGCTCAAAAAGCCAAAAGACTTACCCAAGGTCATATAGCAAGTACATAGTGGAGATGAGTTTTGAATTTGAGGCTTCTGTCTGCTAGTTCAGGAGGTAGCATGGTATAGGGATTAATTCCATGGAAGGTTGAGCCAATACACTTGACTTGGACCCTGATGAGCAAATTGCTAAAGTTCTCTAGGCTCCATGATCTCAGTCTGTAAAATTGGGACTTGATGATTACCTTCTTCAAAAGTTACCTTTGAAGATTATAAGGATTAAATGAGACGAACTCATAAACCATAAGCCCTTGATAAAAGCAGTATATTCTCATTATCATTTCCCTTATACTTCCGCTTCTGAGCTAACTATTAGAGTTTCAGCCTTTTCCCTTTACCCTTCCCCTGACTCAAATCTTTTACAAGCCATTTTCCAATCAATTCCAAGGCCCCAAGTCTATTTCCTCCCTAGTTTCTATTGGTAAAGATGTCGAGGTGATTTTTTTTTCCTACTCATATGTAACACATTTTCTATCTTTCTATTATTAGCCTTTCTCAGCCCAACATGCTTTTTTGGGGGGCATTTCTCATTCGTGCAGCCAGCCTGGTGACAGCATACAACACTGCTGACTCTAGTCAGTGGACACAAAGCAAACCAGCCTCTCGCTCTGCCACCATTCGAGAACTTACCGCAAGAGAAAACTCTCAAGGAAAACAAAGCCTCATCTGCAAAGGTCATGTGTGTATCTACCCTGGGAGAAGAGGCCTTTCCAAAGCTCTTCTTTTTTACTGGAAAAGACTCATAACCTGTTCTTCAGTATCAGAATAGTCAAATAAATGAGGACTCAGCCATGTAATAAAATAGTATGTAGTCACCAAAAAGAATGAGTTAAAAATACTGGAACAAGGCTGATGATACAGTTTTAAGTGCAGAAAAGCAAGTTCTACAACAATATACAGAGTATAATCCTGATTTTGTAAAAGAAATACAATTTAATCAGGATACATACACTTGTATGTATGTATGTATACATACATACACATACATATACATATACATATGCATATCTATATGTACAAACATACAGATACACAACTGTATATGAAAAAAAAAAAAAGAATAGCCAAGCACTGTGGCTCATGCCTATAACCCCAGCACTTTGGGAGGGACAGGCAGGTGGATCATTTGAGATCAGAAGTTTAAGACCAGCCTGGTCAACATGGTGAGACCCTGTTTCTACAAAAAATACAAAAATTAGCCAGGCATGGGGGGTGCATGCCTATAATCCCAGCTACTCAGGAGGCTGAGGCAGAAGAATCGCTTGAACCCAAGAGACAGAGGGTGGAGTGAACTGAGATTGTACCACTGCACTCCAGCCTGGGTGACAGAGCAAGCCTCTGTCATTTAAAAAAAAAAAAAAAAAAAAAAGAAAAGAAAGAAAGAAAAAGAAAAAGAAAAAAGAAACAGGGCTGGGCACAGTGGAACGTGCCTGTAATCTCAGGGAGGCCGAGGTAGGTAGGTAGGTCGCTTAAGCCAACCTGGGCAACATGGCAAAATTCTGTCTCTCTATTAAAAAATATACAAAAATTAGCCAGGCGTGGTGGTACACGCCTATAGTCCCAGCTACTTGAGAGGCTGATGTGGGAGGGTCACTTGAGCCTAGAAGGTTGAGACTGTAGTGAGTGAGCTGAGATTACACCACTGTATGCTAGTCTGGGCAATAGAGTGAGACCCTGTCCTCATTCAATTCTCACCATATCCCTATGAGGTGGGTGTAATTATCCCTGTATTACCAGAAAGCAAGGCTCAGAGTCAAGCGTTCAAGGTCACACAATTGAACATGCAGCAAAATACATTAGTCAACAGAATATGCAGTTCCTAAAAGGTAGTGTGTTTGTACTCAATAAAACACTGTGCCACGGTTTCTGCAAATTCACCTGCTTATCAAACTCGGGCTTCAGAGAGTCTTCAGTGAAGATGTGGAATTGGATCTTCCTGTGGCTAAAAAGCACAGCTGATTTCAGCATGACCAGCGTCTCCTCCAGCCGACTGCCACAGGCCACCACAGCCAGGTGGATCCAGAGCTCGGGTGGCAGCACAGCTTGGAAACTCCTGGGTTCTCCAGGCCTCCTAGAAAGAAGGAAAACAAGTTAAAGCTATTACTGAACTCAAAAAAGTAAAAACAACAAAAAACCAGCTAGTGAATGGTTAGAACATTTCAAAACATGATCAGGCACAATCTGTTATATTTTATACAGTGATAAGCATTTTGACAATTCTTCCTGCTTGGAGAAAAATACCATTTATTCCTATATTTATCCTGGCAATAGCAGGATGAGTCACTGTTTGGACTGCTATAGGTGTCTGAGGCTTTTTCTGCCAGCACTCAGCTGTCTAGTGCCTGCTGGCTGCCTACTGGCCCATGTTTGGAAATAGTATTGCTAAACATCGACAGCTGACACAAGGGCTGTGGAGCTCCCACTCGCACAGGCCATGAAAATTAGATTTGAATGCAACTTGAAGAAGAGGAGGGTGGGTTGTGGCTTTCCCATGTGAAACAAGCAACAAGATATTCCCATCATCTGGATGTTTTTAGGTTGGGGTGGAATGCATGACCACTGGACCAAAGAAAGTCACGCACGTCTGGGAGGTGAGCAAAGAAAACAACATATGTGCCCTGACTACATCTCAGGTGTTAATCCTGACCGTCTCGCCAATACTGGTGAGGTGGTGGTATGAAATTCATCTTCCAGTATGAAATTCACATTAATGAGAAACAGCCAGGAAAGGGGCAGGTTAAACTGAAAATGATCAAGGTATCAAATACTGAGTCAACAGCTGACAGAGGGATAGGGTCCAAGGGTCCAGAATCATCATCCAGCTATTTCCTAGTAATAAAATATTTGTTCCAGATGAGGGGATGCAGCCAAGCCTCAAACACACCACTGAGAAACATTTGCAGGCAAGTTGGAAGAAGTTGGCCTGGAAAAGGTGCCCTGAGACAAATGAAACTAATTTACTTGCACAAAAGATTTGGAGACCAGGGGAACTTGGATGTCAAATGTTACCTTCCTTCCAAAAACTTCGAGTTCAATCAGCTTGCTGCTCCATTATTCACTGCATGGTTGAATAATGGCAGTCTTGCTCCAGATTTCTTTCACCAGGAGGAGAGTTGAAGATGTGGGTGGAGCATTTTGGAAAGCTTCCCAATTTGATAACTTACGAGCATGCTTAGTAGAAGCACAGCCTCATGGCTAAAGCTAAGACCAGATGCAGAGAGTAGCTTGGATTCCATTTACTTCGGGAATCACGGGAAAAGACAGTAGAGACATCCCAAGTGTCTCTGGAAATGGTGCACTTCTTTCCTTTCTCCCTGCCATTATCTGGTGAGGCCACCATCTCCCTTCCTTTGGATCACTGAGAAAGCCCTCTGGGTGGTCCACCTGTCTCCAGTGTTATCTTCAACCCCCAGCCTATGCTTTCTCCTGGTTGGTACCAGGGTGATGTTCTTTTAAAATGCAAATAGGATTGCGTTATTCTCTTTATTAAAATCATGCAACAGCTCCCCACTGCCCCCAGGGTAAGTCCAAGCTGCTGACTATGGCTCCTACTTACATCTTTCACAACTGCCCCCAGCACCCCAACCTGGAGAGACAGCCATTCATAATCACAGTCATATTCTGTTTCACTTCAGCGCATGAGACCACGCTGTGTTGGCTCCAAGTCTTGGCACATACATTGTCTGTCTCTCTTTCTCTCAGAAATGCTCTTCTCTGCCCTCTTTTCCTTGCTAACTCCAGCCCATTTATTAGTCAACAAATCTTTACTAAGCACTATTTTGTGTAGGCATTATTCTATGAAGACAGCAGTGAACAAAACAAAGACACCTGCACTGGAGAAAGTTACATTCTGTGGGGAATTAAGGGAAACACAGAAACAATAGTTAAAGCAGATGGTAACTAAATAACCTATATAGAAAGCTAGACAGTGATGAGTACTATGAAAGGAATACATAGTGGAGCAGGATGGGGGTACCAGCTGTGGCTGGCGGGCTGGCGCAGTATATTCCTGACAGTGCCACGTTTGAAAAGGCCTCACTGAGGTGAGCTCTGCAAATGACTTGCAGGAGGCGAGGCAGTGAGCCGTGTGTCCATCTTGAGGAGGAGCATGCCATGCAGAGAGGACAGCAGAACAAAGGCACAAAATCAGGGGTCTGCCTGAAGAATGTAAGGACCCCCACTGGCAAGACTCACGTGCCTGGTCTCTTCCTTGGCTTCATGGGTGGGTTTTAATATTCGCTATGGCCAACTCCCAATTAACATGTAAAGAGGCGTGAAGGAGATGTTACAGATAATGCTAAAATGACAGTTTCTAAAAATCAGTCAAGACACTAGCTGAAATACGCTACAAAAGAGATTTAATGCAAACTCATTTATTTAAAATTATGCCCAATATTTAGGGATATGTGCATGATTCAAACGGACTAACAACATAAAGGCAATCACTTAGGTATCTTAAATGTGAACACCCTCGCCTGCCCCCAAACAGAACAACTCCTTCTGGTTTAGCTTTCCATATTGGGCTTCTGCAAAGATAACAAGTTTTAATCTTAGTAATCAGGGAAGTATAAATCCAAATAATAGATTCATTTATTTTAAGATTGACAAAAATTACAATATAAAATCGAAGCTTGACCATATTGAGCTTTCATGTGAACATGGGGGAGGGGACAGTACAGGCACTGGTGGGGACAGTGCAAGTTGGACTGAACACTTTGGAGGGCCACTTGGCAACATTAAGCACAGGTGAAGATGGATGTACAACCTCCACCCCTCCAGTCCAACTCCTGCATATACAACCTGAAGAAACTCTTACACATTTGCACAAGACCTATGCAAGAATGTTCACGGCAGCCCTGTTTACTGATAACAAAAAATTGGAAATAAACTTCAGTGACCATGCAAAGGAGAAAAGTGAATATATTTGCTATGGGGTTTTTGTTTTGTTTTTTGTCTTTTTTGAGATGGAGTTTTGCTCTTGTTGCCCAGGCTGGAGTGCAATGGCACCATCTCGGCGCCCCCCGCCCCCCCGCCACCTCTGCCTCCAGGGTTCAAGCGACACTCCTGCCTCAGCCTCATCTCGAACTCCCAACCTCAAGTGATCCACCCGCCTCAGCCCTCCAAAGTGTTGGGATTATAGGTGTGAGCCACCGCACCTGGCATATTTGCTATGTTTTTAAAGCAAATATCATATAGCAGTGTAAAAAAGATAAACCAGACTGGCATGGTACCAACATAAGACCAGAGGATGAAGCCTGAAATAACCACTATCAGGCTGGTGCGGTGGCTCATGCCTGTAATCCCAGCACTTTGGGAGGTCAAGGTGGGCAGATAACTTGAGATCAGGAGTTCCAGACCAGCCTGGCCATCATGGTGAAACCCCGACTCTACTAAAAATACAAATTTAGCTGGGCATGGTGGCATGTGCCTGTAATCCCAGCTACTTGGGAGGCTGAGGCAGGAGAATTGCTTGAACCTGGGGTGCTGAGGTTGCAGTGAGCTGAGATCATGCTACTGCACTCCAGCCCTGAGCGAGAGAGTTAGACTCCATCTCAAATAAAATAAAACAAAAAGACAAATGCAGGATAGTGGTTATTTCCTTTTTCTTTTCTTTTTTTTAAGACAGAATCTCACTCTGTTGCCCAGACTGGAGTGCAGTGGTGCAATCTCAGCTCACTGCAATCTCCACCTCCAATGCTCAAGCAATTCTCATGCCTCAGCCTCCCGAATAGCTGGTACTACAAGCACAGGCCACCATGCCTGTTTATTTTTTGTGTGTATTTTTAGTAGAGACAGGGTTTTGCCAGGTTAGCCAGGCTGGCCTGGAACTCGTGGCCTCAAGTGATCCACCTGCCTTGGCCTGCCAAAGTGCTGGGATTACAGGCATGAGCCACCATGCCCAGCCTGATAGTGGTTATTTCTGATTAAAACCTTATTCCTTAAGCTGAGTGGTGGGCACTTCATTTTGTTATTATCTATATTTTTTGTGGCCCCAAACTATTTGACTTTATTTATTTATTTTTTTCATTAAAAAAAAGCATGCACTGCCCTGCAAGACAGCCGGCCACCTCTTCTCTTCTTTGCACGCTTCAGTGATTTGGGTCTGCACAGTACAAAAAGCAGGGGCTAGGGACGACAATCTTTCACAGTGTCTGGTGACAGGTACTAAAAAAGAAAAATAAAACCTGTCCTGGTGCCAGTTCATGTATCAGTGGTTGGGATTTACCAAGACCTTTGCTGGCCTCACCCTATTACTTCTCACATTACACGAAACATCTCAGGCTTTAGGTAATCAGTGTTAGTGCTGTGCAGTCACAACGCATAATAAAGTTTAAGGGCCCTGGTATGGTGTGGCTTTCACCACCTCCTTCTGATGGCACTCAGCACCTCTCAAATGTCACTCAAGACTCTGAGGACCCAGGGGAGTGCAGTCTAGGGACCTAGGAATTCTTAACCCCCTGAATGACTACGATTGGGCAGGGAATGGGTGATAGGGAATTCCAGCAGTGCTCTAACTAATGGTTAATAATGTTCTTATTTTTACTTTATAAAAGAGGACTGGAGTGAACATTTGCTGTCCAGGAATTTTAAGGACCTGTTGCTAAGGCAGGGGCTGACGGCAACGATCCCGGTAACCATGCTGGTAGAGCCTGAACAGGAATTGACTAATCACAGTGGAAAAGCAGGGCCAGATGACGGCAGGGCAGATCTCTGGTGACACTACCTGGATCTAGGTGCACCAGACCCTAACCTTGGGCACTTTTGTTATTAAGCCAATAAATCTCCTCCTCCTTAATCCAATTTGAAACAAACTTACAACTTAGCAGTCAAAATGAGAGTCATAACATTGGTCCTAAAAAGATGTTTCTAATTAACTTTGACTCTTTCTGCCTTGCTCATATTCACCTGATTGATCCTTTGAAATGTCCACTGACCCATTCCTTCCTTGTTGCTCACTGCTATGACCCTTACCCAAATCTTGGCCATTCTTCCAGTTTTGTGGCTGGAAGAGATGCCAGACACCATGTAGGGCAGAGGATTCCCTACCCGGCCATACATCATAATCATCTT